TTTAACCAAACAGGCCATAAAGAAATAAATGAGCTAGAAATTGAGGACAAAACAGAGTTAATTAAGAAGCAACAATGCAGCATTGATGAAATGTAAAAACATTTCTTTCTTCCTAGGGAGCCAAGCGTAGGGCCTCCTGCATATTAATTCAAGAAGCAAATTCTCATCCAAAGGGGCAGAATTATTGAGAATTGAAATTCCGCAGAAACCAAATTAACCACACAACCGCAAAGAACAATACCGACCAAATCGCTGGGTTGACACGCTTCTGCACTCCTGAGCAATGCAATTCAAAATGCTGTTGAGAAGTAGTTGCTATTTAATTTATAAATTTTTTAGTAAAATATTTTAGACTTGGTGCTTAATTATTCTAATTGCTCAATTGTTTATATTTGGAATCTAATTCAATAAGAATAGTGCTATGAGGACAATTTTTTTATATCTTTTTTAATATAATTTTCGCATGTCATGAGTGGATGCATTTAATATTATAGGTGTTATATATTTTAATTAAAAAAAATAACAAACCGTTTATGCTAAGTCCATTACAAATCCATTGCTTTCAAAACTTAAATTTGTCAAGTAACTTATCAGTTACAGCATATATCTTTGAATCAGTCAATTTATATTTACTTAGCTATTTCAAAGGAGATCCATGCACTTTATTTTAATCAAACGGTTACAGCCATACATTTAAAGAATTTTTTCAGCTTCATCGATTTCTTGAATCCATGCGTTTTTGTTTTGAAGAAAGGATCCATGCGTTTTTGTCTTATTGAGAGGACCCATGCGTTTCAACTTTTCAAATGGCTTAAAGCAATATGTTAGTACATCAGTTTCAAATATTATTTTGATAACCGGAAAAAACATTCATTCAAATTTAATGTTTTGTCTCCTTCAGTTACATTGTGAAGGCCTATATATAGGCAACCTCCATGCCTATCAAAGGCTGATACTTTTTTCTGCATTCTACACTTTTATTCCAAAAAAAAACACAGTATACAAACTCTTTTTGGGCAAAGAAAAAAGTGGTAGGGTTGAGCTTTCTTTATAAGAGTGTAATACTTATAAAGATACAACAAGGAGGTTGGGCTGTTGTATCATGGGGGCGGCGTGACCATAGAAATCTGCTGCACTAATGGCGCACAAAACGTCCTAAAAAGAGTGATTGATTCACGCCTCAACTCAATTTCCTCATACTTTCGGTGACATTTTTCTACTTTTTATTTTCATCTTTAATTAATTTTTTTTGCAAATCTTCTGTCTATTTTTTCTTCTATTTATTTTACGAGAAACAACAACAGGTCTCACATGAATTAAAAAAATTAATCATTTAAATGATATGTCAAATTATAAAAATAAAATAAAATAAAAATGTTATGCAAAAATCATTTCTCAATTCAATAAATATTGGGTAACTTGTGAGTATATTTGTATTCTTATTGAATAATGTTTACTCTAAATTTCTATGCAAATTAATTAAAATACAAGTAAACATCCAAATTAAAAACTAACACGTAAAATATTATTTAATACAATCTAAACTTAAATAAAATTTAT